ACGAGCGAAGATAAAAATTGCATTGCAACGCGAACTAACAACGCACAGTTCTCCAAGTTCTCTTTATGCATAAAGTGGAAAAAATTTTCGTAACGAGATATATATCATTTCTGGGAAAAAGTTTTCAATCGAAGTACATATTTGAATAAATAAATAAATAAATAAATATATATATATATATTTATCCCGTGTATTTTCGATATATAGAATAGTGTTTTATATTTCAGTGATATCAAATGTTTTCGAATATTTTCCAATGCTTGCGTTTGATTAAAAACTTTTCGCCGGAGGTAATATTGAAATAATCCATTACACATTTCAAGAGCTTTTTATACCACGGAAATACAATTCTGCCTATCGCGTGCCTATTTTAAATAATTCACTTCTCCAAAAAATTACGAGGTCAATGAGGTGCACTACATTATTGCAGTGGAACTCCGTTTATGTGACTCTCATTTATCCAAAACAGACAAATTTTAGTCACTCAATTAAATAACTGACTATTGTTGATTAAATCTACTTGCATGAATATCATGTGAACTCTAATTATATAAACTGTTATATTACTATAAATTATATACTATTATTATATTTAAAAAAAAAACTTCTGATAAATCCATTTATTCGAACCAAAAAAATTTAAGTCAACATTTGATTGAAATGAACTCTTGCTAGTTGAATTAATTTGTTTGAACTTGAATTTCTATCGTAAGAACGAAAAATCGCTGGTAGAGGGGAGGATCAGTGAGCTCTTATTATACAGAGTGTCTCGAATTTAAATCAGTATCAAAATTCCGTGAGCGTGTACACGGGATTGATAAACTAAGAAAAAAAATCTACAGTTCTGGATTAGGTTTCACTAACATTTGATTTATCATAATTGTAGCATCAGTAAGTATAATAACTAAATAATAAAATTAACTGTTAACATTATTTGAAATATAAACATTACGTAATACAGTGTTAAATGATTAAGAAAACGATTAATGTTTCGACGAGTTTTCAAAAGAACTATTAGGTTGTGACCTTGAAAAAGTTTTACCTTCGTGAATACAATGCAAAAAAAAAGTTTCGACCCTGAAATTCAAAGTCAAGATCGATTCTTTGGAAGATTCTTCAGACGTATTTCCATCAAATCGATGATATAGAATTCATCTGTGATAGACACGGACGAACTTTTTTTTCCACCCTGTATAAACTCCAATTATACGAACAAAAATTCAAATTACCAAAAATTGTATAAATTACCATACTTTCGATACGTGTTCCACAATGGTGGGTCCACAATAAAACGTCGTGCTGCATGCGAATGAAAAGAAAAAGAGAGAGAGAGAGGAAAAAATTTGAGATTCTATTAAAAGTCTCGCGGATACGAAGAGGCTGGGATCACGGAAATAAGTAGCTGGGGGAAAGTTTGCCGCGAAGTGGGGGAAGTACCTGGTCGAGAAACTGGGCGAGGGCCTCGTGATTGGCGACGACCACCGCGCCATAGTTATCCTCGAGGCTTCGATGAACTATGCTGCGACCTCTGCGTTGCCTCAATCGGCTTATCCTCAATTCGTCGTCCTTGTTCTTCCAGTCTTGATCCTCCTCGGGACCCTGCGCTCGAAAAATCCCATTATAAGTCCCGGGCGCGGTTGCGCGGCCGATAAAACTATCCTCCAAGTGAAATTGTTTCCCCGGGATCTTTATTAAATAAAGAAGGGGGCAGGGCGCTACGAAGCGTACGGCGCGGCCCGCGAAAACTTCCCACCGTCGAATAATAAAGTTCCGCAAATACCGCGGGATAGAGTTGCGCGGTAATAAAATCGCGCCGGGCTCGCTAAGCAGCTGTGAAACCGATCCGATCCGATCCGATCCGAGCCGATCGTTTGAAGAAGCCACGGATAGGCGTGAAAAACTTTGGCAAGCGAGGCTCGACTTCGTTTCATTTTTTATTTTTATTTTTTTCAGACCTTTCGTGTCTTTCTCGTTGCCGACTGCCGGTTCATCGATTTTTTTCTTTTTTTTCTTTTTTTTTTTGCAGATAGTAACAACTCGAAGAAGGGTGGGGGAGAGACGTAATATAATATACATGGACTCGCGGAAGCCATTTGGATATTTTTTACGAGCCATGAATTATGCATGTTGCATATTTGAAATGTTTTCAAATTTTATTGGCGCTGTTATGAGACTCGGAGACTGGAAGTTACGGGGACCGTGACCGGGAAATAAATATTTAAACAAGTTTCAATTGTCCAGTATGTTAATGAGCCTCAATGTTCAACGAGATTGTGTTTGTAAAGACAATACATTTTGATTATCATTATTGTTATTATTACTGAACATAGTATCATATTTATTTCAAAACTAGAAAAATTAAACAATATGTTTGCATAACAAGGAATCTATAAAGTATTAATGTATTAATATATTAAGAATTGTATCGTGTAAATTTTGTCATCGGTGTTGAAATGAAATTTAATATTTTTAAAAATTGAAAATATTAAAGAATTCCGAGCATGAGCAGATTGATTTTTATCTACATAATCGCGACAGTCGATACTTTTTCGAAATGTTTTACGAGATACGAACGGTGAAAGGTTTCTACGACGAAATCATTTTTGCACGTTTTATAATTTATAATAGAGAAGAGTGCTTTCACAAGCGTTCTGGAAATGAATGGAAAATTCTACGGTACACAAAGATTGTAAAAACGTGGCTCGGAAGAAGCTAACAGCGGAACATTTTCGACGTTCAAGCTTTCATAACGTTTTGTCAATAGTAGAAGTTTAGAAGTAAAAGGTGCAGAGTAATAAAAGGAGCAATGCAATTCCAAGTTTCTATCTTTTTTCCAAAGGGGGGTGGGGGGAAACAATGAGAGAGGCGATACGGAAAATTTTACCGTACCCGAGAAGAAGCTGACGGTGGTCATTTGGAAAATTCAGTTTTCCATGATACTTTCCAAACAGAAGAACTCTAGAAATGCACTACGTTCAAGGAACGTAATACGCTTGAAATCCATTTATTATAAAGAATATTGCTCTTCTATGTTGCACAAAATAAGCGAAGGAAAACGAAAAATATCGAAAATTTTACGTCGTTGTACGACGATAAAAGTGACCGAGGAAAAGTGAGATTGACCATTTCTAATATTCAGTTTCTCACCGGAAATTCTAAATTTCCAGTTCCGCGTAGTTCGTTCTCAAACCGTGAAAAATTTTCATTGCTCACGCTAGCCAAGGGAAATTTGGAGAAATTTTGATCAAATTTTTCAAAAAATCGAAAATTTCTTCGAACTTTCGATAACGATATCGTTTTCGTTCTAGTGCTCGTCAGGATTTCGCGATCAGCGCGCACGTACGCACACACATTGGTTATACAGTTTCGGAACAGATCGATACACCTCGCACCAGACCACCCACGCGGTTATGTCCAGCCAGAGAAATACCACGAGATCGTACCTCATCGCCGGTGTAAAAACCATACGGGGCGTAGAGCTCGCTCTCGGTCTCGCTGCCGCAATATGGCAGCGAGGTCGATCTGACGAACGTCTGATGATGGAATTTGAATTCCGCAGCCGGTTCCATCGCGTTGCTGTCGGACTTCCTCTTGCAGGTGAGATGAGATCCACCGCCGTGCCGTAGCTCGAGATTCGAGTCGCACTCCGGCGAGCTGGAAAGGCACTCGTAAACATGACTGTCGTTAGACGTCTGGAAAAATCGTGTCGATCCACGCTGAGATTAGTAACTGCGAAGGAAGTTTTATTAAAAAAAAAAGAAAAGAAAATACAGTATATATATTTTAACGATCCTTATGGACGAATAACGAATAGAGGAAGAAATTCTACGAGTAAAATCGAATAGAAATCGACGACATTGTGTTTTTAGCTTCGTAAAGAAAAGAAAAAAGAAAAAAAACGATGTTGAAACATTAGCAGTTAAGAGTTGTTAAAGAAGAAATTTTTTTTAGTTAGTTGAAGAAATGCTCTGGAATGCTGTGGCACGAATAACAAGAAATATGAGTAAGATAAAATAAAGATCAATAATAATAGTATTGTATTCGTTGAGGAAAAATCATGGAAAATTAGATGGAATTAATAATTGGTTGAAAACGATATTTTACGTAAAGAAAGACAATCTGGCTTGGAAATTCCAAGAAGAATGAGGTTCCACTAATAAAATAAAATAATAATCAATAAAGATAATATTGTATTAAAGACTGGCTGAAATCATTAATTCTTTGGACAAGGTATTTCGCGTAAAGAGACGCAATACATCTTTAAAATATTGATAGAAATAACGAAGAAAATATCTTCACTAGACTCTTTACTCTGAAGAAAATTCCCTTTGGAGACTAATCCACTTTTCAACAACGAAGTCTCCAACCGATTTTAACTCGTACAATCTTCCTCGCTCTTTAAAAACATAACTGTTTTCTATTCAGATCGTTCAAAGAAAGATGTTTCAAGAACCGAACGTAATTAGCACCTTATCGACGAGGACGTAACGTTGATTTCCTGTCGCTAGAACGGGAAGAAAATATAATTTTTACAAAAAATTATTCTCTCCTAAAATATTAGTGCTCGTCAACATCGTCACTGTTAGTGCCAATATCACTATTGGTTTCTACATCCTCCGTAAACATTGTTTCCAAATTTTATATTTCATATTTTTTTTAAATTTTAGAAAAGCCATATTTAAAAGATTTTTAAATTACAACGATAAATATTATGCTTATTTTATCATTTCTGCGTACACTAAAATCTTAATGTAACTGAGGTAAAATATGGCGGTCATTGTGCACGAGGTTCATATGACGCCTACGGCGTCATCCATAAACAGATAACAGTATTCAATTTGACGCCAAATCCGTAGATAAGGCGTTAATGAGAAATGTGTCGAGGGTAAAGCCGGATACTCAAGTCAAACCGGGTATCATTGTTTTTCTAAAATAAGAGCTTCGATATGTAATCGAACTGTGGCATGATATTCGAGTGGATTCCACGATCTTATTTTATAATTTTCGACACTACGATGTGTCGATTAAACAACAACCAAGATAGAGCTAAAAATTCCGGCTTGAAGAGTTTCAATGTTTTGTGATTTAAATAATTGTTTTTTAGTGTTTCAAGAACCTATTCGGATAAGTAATATTCTATAGTCCTCACAGAATATTTTGTCAATATTTTGACCCATTCTAAATCCAAGAAACAATGGATTTAATGCACTATGTGTTATGGATGGGCACGTGTGATATGTACAAGTGTTGAAGAGGGCGACGAATATTTTATTTGCGACTTTTGTTTTGTTAATTAAGATATACGTATATATATTTATATGTTGAAATAGTCCAGATTCCTTACAAATACGGTAAAAGTTCCTAAACTAGTAATTAATAAACATAATTTTTTATAAGATAGACCAAATAGAAAACCTTTATATTTATCAAAATTGTTGAAAATAAATAACTTTCTTAACTGATAAAAATGAAAATTTTGTAACGTGTCGTTTTATTTTCCCGTGAACCAAACAATTTCAAGAATGTTTGGTCATTTTCTTATTGTAGTAAAATCCAATTGAGAGATTTAGTTTTTTTTTTTTTTTAATTTGCCATCCATGATTTTCTTGTTAGGAGGCTGAATATATTAGGCATATCCGGCTTTACTCTACTTTCCCCTACATACTACTTGTCATAAGCGTTCACTTCGAGAGCAGCAATGGATAAAATTTCCACGTTAAATTCTTGAACATCTCTCCTCTTACTACCTCGCACACCTGGACGGTGTGGCGGTATGGCCGATAAAGATCGTGAAAAGCCGATTAATAGCGGCATTACCAGTGAATCGGACGTGGGTGGCGCGGTGACCGTGACGGCCTCGTAATCCTGATTAAGGGCCGGGCTTGACGAGCCGTGTTTCTTGACGATCGGCTGCGAGGTCGCTTGGTCCCTCATGCTGGCGGTTCTTTGTGGTTTCGAGGGTGCCAACGAGCTGCGCACCTCACCTGTAACATCCTCCGCTGCTGCAGGCACGTCCGCCATCGTCAAGCGCCACGGGTTAGTACCACAAGACACAAGGCATGTCACAAAACAGAGGCTAGCTCTACCGTACTAGCGTGCTACGAGGGCGGAAATTATCGTTTCCCCGGCTAAAAACGCTAGAGACGCGCTCGTACATCGTATGCGGAGCGGATTGTTCTTGGCGAGGGGACGAGGGTAAAGCGACAAATCGGACACGCTCGTGAATCACTCGACCACCTCGGGATCGCTCCCTCCGCTCGTCCGCGTTTCAGTTTTCCGAGTTCGTTCGTGTTTCCCGCCTGTGAAACTCGTTCCCCGTGATGGAAACGACGACGTAACGGTACGTGTTTGTTGGATCGTTTCGACGAGTGCGTGTTGATTTTCAGGTGATATTCGTGATATTTGTCTTTTTGGAAGTATAGAGGCTCGTTTTTGCCATGTTTGACATCTCTTCTCCCTCAACATTGTTTCATCGGAACTTACCCGAATTTCGAATTTTTGACTTTCGTTATATTCAGGCTCGGCGACTTTTGCGATTCTTTTGTGGAGGCAGGAACACGAAATATCTGTATATACATACTTCTGACAACTTTAATAATGGGTTGGGAAATTATTATTTAGTGAAATTCTTCCTTCCAGGTTGCAAGATCAGTTCAAAACTTAAAGTAAAATTTAGATATTTCAGCCTTTCCGCCTTTCCACCTCTCCATAAAAGAAAACTATCGAACTTATTCCTATACTCTACCACAGATTGATCGTCAATATTAGCGACCAACAGATCGGTCTGCTTGAAATTACATTCTCATACTCAGAGAGATACATTATGGCTCACTTAGATGAGCTACCTGCAAAAATCAGCACCAATTGATCGGACGATCCAACGAAAATCGTTGCTACCAACTTTTCTCCAACCTCGTGTCGAGAACAAGTCGTCACGAGCTCCCGCCCCCCCCCTCCCGTCCCCTACCTTCTGGAAACGTAATTCTCTCTCTCTGATAGGAGAGATACATCTCTGCTCGTAATCGGGGGTATCGCAATTCCTCCGCAGGAGTTTCCTCGGGCGGAGCTAAAGGGTTCGATAGAGTTCTAGAAATTCCGGGGCGAAACACAGTGAATTAAGTGACGTTCGGAGTTCCTGCGCGAATCATCGGGAATTCTGGAATTGGCAGGCATTCGTTATCAAGGTTCGACTAAAGGGGCGACGTCAGGAGTGGGATGGGGAGAGGGGGGGGGAGGTAGGTAGGAGAACACGATGCTAATATGCAATCAATACATGCGGCGTTAGTTGCACCCAGGGGGCGGTTAAGGATACCTTGCGCAACAATCCTACCACCGTTGTCACGTCACCGCCGACATGTTCACTATTTACAGTGGGTCTGGGAATGAGACGAGCACCTCTCTACCCTGCGTTCGTTGTTCGTCTCTCTCTCTCTCTCTCTCTCTCCCTCTCTCCCTCTCTTTGTCTGCCGCAAAGCAAATTCGATTCAAGTGGTCTGAAAACTGCGTTTTTCATGGCCCGTGAGTCAACATCCCGAGTTTCGATATTTCGACGAAATTTTTTCCTTCCGTGAAACGGGGAAACCTTCGATCTCAGAATGTCATTCATCTCGCGATGATAATTACGCGAACGAGTACAACTAAGGTCAAAATTCTGTAAATTAAAGCAAAGCTAATTCTTTTTGTTATTGATTATAGAACTGCAGGTAAATAAAGGGTTTTTATATTATTGTTTCAAACATATCGTGTTTCGACTATTCGATTGTATTTCGAGCGTATCTTGATCATGATGTACAAGCAGAATACTGTTTGCAGCGATTCGAACTTTTTGAATAAAAGAAAAAGAAAATGATTAAGAACGATTGACGCCAGACTTGTGTTACACGAAAGTTTAAACAATTGTTGAGAAGAGCGTACAAATTTTAAGCGCAACCTTTAAACAGACACGGATTTTAAGAAGTAGAAGTCCGTGATATTTCCGACGATCTGGCAAAGAAAAAAAATGTTTCGAACGAAAATTAACCAGCATTCGGTCTTGTAAAAATTTCACAAGAAAGAATCTCGAGGAGAAAACTTTTGTTTCCGCGAAAACTCAAGGTTAGCTGTATTGTTTGAAACTGTCATTGCATATTTCTGACTCGGTAACGTTAAAGCTGACGTCGTGACGAATTCAACGACCTACCGTACTATGATGTTAAACCTTGAAGTGACGCTAAAATAATTTTGGCCACGAAAACGCGGTCTCCAGACCACTGTGTCAGAGAGAGAAGGAAGGTGTCGGATCGACCGATACTTGGTTCACGCCGTGAGTGAAACGAATCGATGAAGGAAATGGCAGAGCCAAGTGAAAGAATGAATACTATTGGCAGTCGTGAAATTATTCGCACAACCGGAGGACGGAGGACGTAAGTTTGAAAACTAACTAGGCAATACGGGAGAACTTTTTCAATCGAGAACTCTCCTGAAATTACGAGACGTTGCCGTATGCAATTGCGAAAAATTCAATTGAAATATCATTTTACGCGATGAAAGAAACACGAACACGTCCAAGATAAAAATTACTGTAATTACCGTGTTATCCATAGGATCCCGCGTCGTCTTATTGAGCGCATCGTTCCTCAAATTTTTAACTGCGAATAATTTCGCGACTCGAGCGAGAATAAAATTTAATTTCCAAGCGAAACAAAGGAATGTTGGGGAGTTTCGCTCAAACTTGGTCAAAAGCCACATTGACCGCGTAAATTGAAAAGCGGAAAAAAAGATATGATGATGCGAACGCTATCTTTTCTGTTTTTTTTTTTTTTCAAATTGATTGAAACGACTGACTTGCTCCACGAAAATTGAACATTAACGAATTAACGAAATTGAGAGATTGCCGAAACGTGTAACTGTGATTAAATGCTCGCGTGTTGTGCTCTGCAAAATTGTTTAAAACGCAAAAGTGATTCGATCCTCGAACGTATCAAGGAACGTAAAAGGACGTGATGGAACGAGCGAAATGACGTCGACGAGGGAAAAAGATGAACGTACGCAAATTCCGCACGGTCTTTGAAAACGCAGTCCGTTCGGGTGCATGCGGTTAAACGATGAAGCAGCCCGAAAAAATCGAACCGCGCCAAACGTCGAACGTCCGCGATCCAATAACAATTATTGGATCGCGTGGAGGAATCGATCGTGGTTCGTTTTTTCGCTTCGTTGTTTCACGTTGTCGAGGCCTTCGTTCCGTTCGTCATGAAAAGAAGAAAAGAAAGGAGGGAGCGCGGATAGAGAGATACCAGGATCACGACGGGTTTGAGAGAAGAACGAAAAAGAAAAAAAAAAAAAAGAAAAGAAAGAAACAGATTGCGAGAATGTGACACGTGACTAATTGTAAGAAAACAAGGCACTCTGATTTTTCAGGCAACAAATTCGTTTATTTCAGACACAGAAATTCGAGGTTACAGAATCTTTCGTGTTCCATTTCGTTATCGTTTTATTTACAAAAAAAAAAGAGACACAAAGAGAGAGAGAGAGAGAGAGAGAGAAGTTTTATCGTCGTTTCTCATACAACTGATGTCGCACCTTTTTTTTCCAGTTTTGAATTCTTTTTCAAATTCGGCCAGCCATTCTCAAACTTCTGATCGACACACTCTCTCGTCCGTTTGACAGAGAGAGATCTCCGTATCGAAACGAAATCGACGACCGCGATTCCGGCCCGTTATGGAAAAACAATCGGCGACTGTTCCGTAACAAAAGCTAGCTACTAAAAAAAGAAAAACCGTGAAAATCGCGTCGCGCGTCGTGTTTCATCCAACAAAAAAAAAAAAAAAAAACGAAGTTACACGGTAATAATAAGTTGTATCACAGAGAATCGTGAATGTTTCCAAATAAATCGGAGCAGTTAGTCGAGAAAGTACACGAGATGAT